GGTTTTCTCGTTCATCGCCGCCCTCGGAGCGATCACCATTGGTGTATCGTCGGTACCGTCCCTAGCCAACAGAAGGGTGGTGAAGGCCGGAGTAGTCATGACGACCATCGCGACCGTATATCAGCTCATCATCCGTACTGTGGCCTTTGGTGAGACAGGGGTCTTATACAATTCTATTCATAGCAATGTCCATGCTGCAGAAGCCTAGTGTTTCTGCAACGCGGGCGCCACCTTTGTACCAACTTTTCCAGGTGCCTGGGACCCTCGTTCGATGACATGCATCGTATTTGCAATTATCGTAAGGATGTATTCGCCAAAAGCAAAGATGGATGATGGCCCGTCCCTATTCGGCGCCTGGGTGGTCACTGTTACCTCCTCTTATTCATCGTGATGCTTCCCATTCAGGTTGTTTCCCTTCGTGTTCCGCCTTTTGCCGCCCTTATCGCTCCCGTTACGATCAGCATCATCACCATGGAGCTCTTCGGAGCCCCGGTCATCAGCGCTGAGAGGGCGACCACGGCAGTGAGTCAGATATGCACACGCGTGCACGCATGCGCAATTCTTGACAGGTTTTGGCCCTCCTGTTACTACAGGCAGCAGCCAATCAGATTAATTCTGTTGCTGATTTCTTCAACGGTGTAGATGATATTCACACTGCTTCTGATCGAAGCTTAGTAGACGGCATACTAACTCCTAAGGCCATGGTATGGTCCGCTGTCGCCCTCACTGGCCTCTCCGGAGCCTTGCTCCTTGTGAACATCCCTGAGATCGAAAGCTCCTATCGGGGATACGTCACTCTTTCGTGGATAGCTCAAGCATCGTTTGCAGTGAGTTTCGGGAGCCTGCAGGGACCGTCGAATTCGCTTATAGATTCTGTATACCTCCGGTCCGTTTCCTCTCAAGTACTATGCTATGGGAGATTTGGTCATGTATGTATGGGAAAACTTATCTGGGCGCATATTGGATTCGCTTCAGTCTCTTAGCATTCGGTCCTTCCGTGAGTGCTTTGATGGCTCTGTGGGCAAGCGACCCCACCAGATCGCTTCCGGTCCTCCCCGGTGTATTCGCCTTCACGCTGCCCAGCATCCTTGTCACTATTGGTGTAAGAAACGGGCTTGGGTCCTAGTAGGTTTGATGTTGACATGCTTTCATGACTTTAGGTTCTCAATGCGAACAACATTCGAGATTTGGATTCTGACGCCGCTGTGGGCATCTATACTGTCGCCAACATCCTCGGTCATAGATGGTGTCGCATGTGAGCTCGTTAAGCGTGGCAAGCTCGAATCTGCTCAGCCCAGTTACTTCGGAGTCCTACAGTTGCTGCCACATATTATATCTCTCTGGCTGGCCGTATGCTTACCATTGTTACGGTATCCTATTTTCTCTCGCTGTTATTCCGAGATCCCTATCTACTATGTGAGCACCTCGCATGCCTCTAGCCGTGAACTGGTTCCTTGTGCTGACTCAGATCACGTATTTGCCTGAGCCCTCAGAGTGATCCTGAATACAAAAGGGTGGTGAAATATGCATCTCATACAACTCTTATGTATGGCCTGGCCTCAGCTATGGGCATATCAACAGCCCCCATCGGAGTCGGCTTGGACCAGGTGAGATCGTTTAGTCTTCGGGTCGATTTTGAATTTTCAGGTCAGCTCGGGCGGGGTCCTCGCTACCTCAGCTGTGATCGGCTTCCTGTATTGTGTCGGTTAGGAACTTAACTGTGTGGAGTTGCTCCTATGTCTGAATTCCGGTTTTTCTCACTGATGAGGTTGATGGTAGTTTGCCTGGTCTTCGCAATAGATATTTTTTTCATGCTAGCGGCAGTCCTCTAGTAGGCATTTACTCGCTACTGTAGTGCTACTGTAGGTTTCCATGCTCAACGCTCGTCAGCTCTCGAGTCGAGTTGTTTACTGGGAAAGTCTGGGAGGTTCAGAGTGACATGCCGATGGGGTGGTGGTCGGATGAGGAGGAAGCCTATCAGTACAGACCTAGTGACCGGAGTGGGCCGGTTATGGTTGTCCATGGCTCCTATTATTCCCTAGATAGTTTAATCGACTAACTACACTGTGTTTCCCTGCATGACTGAGGCTCACAGAGGCGATGTCGAGAAATAGTGTCACCGCTGACTGTGAACTCAAGCTTGGGTTTGCTCCCAATGCACGGTGATAAATTCCATCGATCCAGCAGTTGGGTTTCCTCCAACGGGCCTGGTAGTGGCGGATATCTCCCTTGTAGGTGTGTT